GCAAAATAGATTGAGACTCTGGTGAGCTTGTACCCGATTATCTTCTCTTTATCTAAAAGAGTTTACTAAGATAAATGAATCAAACTTAGTTTTACCCTTCTTTGGAGTAAGAATCACTAGTTCTCTAAATTAAAGGATAAATAAAATAAACTTTTTGTTATATCAATCACACATGAAAAAATTCTATAAAATAGTAGATTATAAACTTTAAAAAAAAAATTATAGAGTTCTTGATGATTCTATTAGAAGTGGAGTTTTGTATATGATTAATTAATGACTTATCTATTTCAAAATATATGATTGTGGAGTTTGTCGATAAAGGAAAAAAGTTTATTGACATTTAGGAACCACATGGGGGTGAGGAAAGTTAAATGCATTAAAAAAAATAGAAAATAAACAAAAAGAAAAATTAAGAAATTCTAGCCAACTTTTTATATTACTACCCTCTTAAAATTCCTCAAGGTCTTCTATTAATGAATCTCGTAATTCTTCATATCATCTCCATCTTTTTACATATAAGAGAATAAAACCATTCCTTTTAACTTAGTGTCTCCCTTCTATGATATGTAAATAGATTGGACATGAAAATCAAACACATTCTAACCAATTCCATGATAAGACAATGTTCATGAATAAAAGGAAAAAACAAAAGCTTTTTATCTTCTTCCTAAAAAAACCCTACAAAAATTGCATTATAGTAATCATCTTTGTCAAGTCATTAAGTGGAATTTATTGACTCCAAATGGTGTCGGTTTAAAGTTTTGAGAGCTGGACTTGGGTTTACTTTGGGAACGAATTGGGAGTTTGGGCTTCATTCTTTTTTTTTTCTTTTAACATGAACCAAGACTAACAGTGCTTAGTAATAAGCAGTTTTTATTTGGATTGTGTCTTAATTTTGGGCCCCCTTCTTTCTTTTTTCCTTTCTTCTTTTATAACGTAATCATAAAGAACATAATAACAATAATATAAACTGTGAGAAAATTGGCATCTACGTTTAATACTTCACATTTAAGCAATTTTTTATTTAGATAGGATAAAATTAGGTGTGAAACCATTGAAATAAATTTTTAGGTTCTTCAATCCCTACCAAACATTTAAATAGATCAAGATAAATAAATTGGTTGCCACCTGCCTACCCGCACTACGCACCTCCTCTCACAACAAAACATCCTTCTAAATTTAGATAGAACGCTTAGAGAACAAGATGGGGAAAGAAAAATCTTACGAACGTATTGTAATTTCATGAATAAAACTATGCCATGAGGAATTTAGATCTTTCGCACATTGCCACAATCATTTCAACAACAAACCCTTTTCTAGTCCATAATAGGCTTTAGCTCAAAACTTCCAAAACCTTTACTTGTACAAACTAATTCCTAATTAACTAAATGTAATTTCCTATTAGCCTCACTTTCTTCCCAGCGAAAGTCCCTCATTATACTCCCCACTCTTTTTGTCACTTTAATCAACATCTTTAAGAAAGAGATAATGAAGAAGAGCCTCATAATTGATAAAATTCGAGTCACCCTTGTGACAAGAATCTTGGATATGGCAAGCTAATAATTCTTGTCTCATCTTTTAAAAGCTTTCGATGAGTCCTACTTAATGCATAATCTAAGATATGAAAGAGTTAGTTCTAACATTTTGTACTTAACTCTTTCACTCTCAGGAAAAAGAAAAGACAACTCAAAACAACTTAGAATTTTCCTGAAAACCAATAAGTACTCGCATAGCTTACAAGAAGTAAAAAAAAGAGTGTAATTAACAAATTGTAGCAGGTTAGAACCCATTGAACTTCTGTTGACATTGATCCCCTCAAAAAGCCCAAGGCATATGGCATAATAGACATTTTAAATGAAAGACTATACAAATCTGAGACTAAAAAATCAAATTTGTGGAAAAAGAATACAAAGCTACAAGATAACATCATAACAAATTAATGATTTAATGTATAACAATATAATTCAAACTATATGGCACTAAATTTCCACATAACAAGCCATATGTATTGGACAACAATTATGTTTTATATATAAACATAGATGTGGTTATAACATATATATATAAATAGTAACTGGTTGTAGTGAAAATATTATAATTTATTCATATGTTAAATAACAAATTTTATGTCATAATTTGGTATAATTCCAGTTTAGATCTTGTAATTCTTTTCTCTAAGAATTCAATATCTATAGTTCGATAGAGAGTGAGGAAACCAATATGATGTTGTGGATGCAGGAGCTATTATCGATGTACCCAAGACAATTGCCGCGTAAAGAAACGTGTGGAAAGATTAGCTGAGGATCCGAGAATGGTGATAACGACATACGAAGGAAGACATGTACATTCTCCATCACATGATCTCGAAGACTCCCAAGCTCCATCTCACCTCAACTTCTTCTGGTAGTTACCTGCATGCATATGACTGAAACAATTTATAAACCATATGATATGCTAGATTGTCTTATCAGCCTCTAGTGTTTGATAGTTTTATATCTCCACATCATCATAAAATAAACAATATAATATGTATGTAAATGGTCGCCATGTTTGATCTCTTGCATTCTCTTGTATGTGTAGTGTGTAAACCAATAAAAATAAGAGGGTAAAAGAAAGACATAGTCGTGAGTTTATATTGAAAAATAGAGAAAAAGTTTCTTATTTTCCTATTATATACTTTCCTTAAAAGATTAACAGATAATTTGTATGCATAAGGAGGTACTGTTTATTTAAGTTTAAAAAGAAAGTCAAGAAGGAAAGTTTATAGTTTGAAAATAAGAACTTTGGTTATAAACTCAATGCTTTTGTTCTAAACTCAGTTTTTGTTTTTTTTTTCTTTGTTAGTACTTCTAAACAATGGTTATTACCTGAACTTTTGTAAACTCCTTTAAGTGACTTGTGTTTTTGGTGGTGAATGTCTTTCTTTTTTTTCTTTCTTTAAACAGAAAATGAGACTTCTAAATTGGATCTAGAAAAGAGGGTGAATGAAGATAGTGTTTGGAATTTTTTCTGCTATAACTTACTAACCAAATAATTAGATAATCAATATATATACATAAATATTACTGGTCATTTAATCGTGATTAAAACAAATGTTAACAACTACAGAAGTAGTTGCGGTCATCTTTCTAAGGTTAACTTCTCTTTCACTAAAGTTCCCAAAACCAAATTCTTGATATTTCTTCTTGTTCTTAACCTAAGTGTTGTGACGATCTCAAAACAATCAGCCAATTAACTCTCATTAACTTCAGACCTTCTTATACCAGTATGTTATGTCTTCCAATCTATCCTTCATTCTTCGAATTTTGTTACTTATTATTTTATTTGTAACTTTTCATTAATAAAAATTCGACCTCATAATACTTCAACCTCTCTATATATGGATCATTCTAGACAAGGATTGGACATTATTATCCACAAAACTATCAAAATGTCATGTGATAATCTAGTGCTCACAATTAATGAGAATTAGGATGATAATAAATGTGACATAGCTTTAAAAGATACTATTCTCTCAACCAAATCCATTTTAATTAAAGTTTTACATTAGATCATGAATAGTATTTAGAAGCCCATAAATGCAATTGAAGTTCTTATCTTGTGACTTAAAAAATATATATATATATTATTTCTTGTATGCCACTTTTTTATAAGCATCAAATACAATCTAGATTGCAAAAAGAACTAAATACAATATATGAATATTTACGCAATAATGGAAAAAGAAATTTTGTAATAAATTAATGTAAATTTATATACTTTACACTTCCTGCAAGCAAATGATAGTGTGAAACAAAGTCGTAGTCTGTCTCGAAATTTGATGAACATGGGCTTGGGAAGGGTTTTTGGTTAAGATGTCAGCAATTTAATCGTTAGAAGAAATAACAAAAACTTGCAATTGTTTTCAAACAACTTGTTTATGAACTTGATTATGAAGAAAAATGTTTTGTTTTGATATAAATATTGGATTGAAAATGAGGTACATAAAGTGAATGGTATCACACTAAAGATGACTTGGATGATAAGAGAATGCTAAGTTTAAAAAAGAGACCGGAGCCAACGAAGTAGCAATGGCATTAATCATTTTTATTTGAAGAATATGGGATGGTGATTGCTTCTTTCCTTGCCGTGGAATTATATTAGATTCTAAAGTAAAATACAAATTTATTTATCAAGTGACAACCATCTTTTAGAATGTAAGTGACATGAGGCAATAATGCTACAAAGTAAAATTTATTTTTAAAAGAATAGGAATTGCTAGTAACCCATTTATAATAGAGTTAGACATTAGATCGTGCATTGGTCTTTATCTAAAAGAATTTACATTCAAAAATAATATTAGACAAAAATGGTTGATGTTGAAAATTTTAAAGAGATAGGCTATTTCAATATAATATTTTATTGAAATAGGAGGAAGAAATAAGAGAAACTAATAAAAAAAGAAAACTAAGGTTTTTATTTCTGGTTATTGTTAAAAACCTTTAAGTACATGAGTATATTTAAGTATAAATATAACTCTTAAAATTTCAAATACATAAATGATAATTATAAACCACAACCATTTAGGAAAACTCAAAAGACTCATATTGAAATCTAATTCATAAGCTATAACCTATAAAAATCCAAAGATACATTCATATCCGTAACTCCATATAAGATAAAGAATCCTCAAATTATTATTGTAAACTCCTTAGTTAAGTTTCTTTAATTTCTATATTATTGTCTTTAACTCCTTAAAAGATAAAAAGTCTCCTTAATTTTTAAATTATTATTTCTAATAGTTGATGCACATGTTTAACGTTAATGATGTGTTTAATTTAGATATTCACTTAATTTAAAAACTTATGACAAGAAAAGTGACTCAAGTAGTAATCACTTTTAGTAATAAACAAACTTTATACTAAAAGTTTAACATATACAAACAGAAACCATTGATACAAGTTATTCCGTAATGAATTCAGTCTTGTCGTTAAAATTATACTACGTAAATGAAAAAATTTGTAAAGTTCAACATTTACTAATTAGTAATTTTTCATTGGTAACAATTAGACAATACAAACAATTTCTCTTTGTATAGCTCCTAACTTAATTCTTTCGTAATTATAGATTTAATACTCATTAGTTGGTTCTAATAATCTAACTAATTAGTCATTACCCCATTACCTCTATTTGAAAAAAAAAAAATAACTTTGACCTAATTTCATCTGCAGCTTCCTTCATCATCTATCCCACAAGCTACAACTATCTTCTCATTCTTCGCCAATGGCTTAGTTTCTCATTGTTAATGAAAGTTGTAGCCTCCTTCATCTTCCGTAGGTTGTTCTCTCATCCTTAGCTTCCTTCATCGCCATGCCACATCCTCCTTCATTTCCCCACATTGTCGTGCCTCCAGATGCTTCATTTTACCTCTTCATTTTTGTGTCTCCTGCTTCATTTCCCTTCTTCATTGTTGCGCCACCTCCTGCTACATCTCCTTCATCTTCGCATTTCTCACACATATTTGTCTTATTTATGTAAAATGTAGATAAAAAAATTAGGATTGTGAGGTTAAAAGCAGGATTGATTTTTCTTTTACTAGATTCCAACCTCAATCCTCGTCTATCAGAGTATGGCTTTCCAAATTTCTTTCCAAACATAGATTCTAATTTTCGGTATGCGTAAAAATCATTATCATACCCCAATTTTTTTAGCCAAATAATAATAATAAAAATAATATGATAAATAATAGTTAGATTAATAATAATAACAATAGCAATAATGAGCTGATAACTAAAATATTCATATTATCCATAGTTGCAAAGTTGCTGTTGTTGTTATTGTTATTATTATTATTATTATTATAGTTGTATTGTTATTGAATTTTATCTTACCTTATTTTAGTTTTGATTTATATTGCATTTTAAGTTGTATTTAAAAAATTAAAAAAAAAAAGAAATAGTATAGAAAAGGAAAGTGGGTTTGGGTTCACTAAAACCCATACCCAAAGCTCACCAAAATGGACTAGCAGCCCAGAAGTTGAAAATGAAAAGAGAAAAAAAAATGGATTAAAAGTCAAGCCCATTTGAAAGAAGCCCAATTGAAGAAAGAGGAAGAAAAATGAAGGAAAATAAAGGAAAAAATGAAGGAAAATAAAGGAAAAAATGAAGGGAAATGCATCCAAAACGACATCGTCTTAAGTCAACCGGTTGTGAAAAAAGAGGCATAGAAAGGAAGTTGTTTTGTTACTCTTCGATTAAGATAAAGTGTTTCTGCTTGCTCGAAAAAGGAGGTCGCCCATGGTGGCGCGGGAGATCGAAAGAAGAAGAAAAAGAGAAAAAAAAATGAAGAGGTGTGCACGAAGAGAAGAGATCGAGTACGAAGAAGAGATTGGTTTTTCTAATTTTTAGAGGATCTTCGATGTCAGGACACTAATCTAAACAGCTCTCTCGCCTTTAAAGGGTCAAGCTTGAAGCTTAAAGAGGGGATCACAAAGAATTGAGTCAATATCGGTTAGACAACACTATGATTTTCGTAGTAATTAAATTATGAAGTAAAATATAGACTTAATACGAATCTTTGAGGTATTATAAATATTTAAAATTGTTTATTGAGCCAATTGTAGATCATTGATAGGTTTTATCTTATTCACTAATTTACTATAAGATTTAACGATAATAATATAGATATTTTAAGGAAGATTAAAATGGGTCAAGGATATTTATTTGGAAGTGAAGATGCCATTAATTTATAACCTTTTTATATAAATAGTTATAAAGTAATTTTTACATATATTAGTTTCATAACTTAATATTTCTGAATAAATCAGGATAATCATGTTAATAAAAATTTTAATATTTGTTCATGGGAAATGAATAAATCAATATATCACAAGTAGGTTTGGGACTTTTGATGAGTGATTTACTTTATTCTAATTTTACTTTAACATTTCTCTTTAATGTTTCTTTTTGATTTTATACTCTTTTGTCAAGTAAATAAAACAAAATAAACCTCATTAATTTAGAGAAAAGCTCTTTAAAGTTCCAAATGTTGAAGAGGTAATGCTCGTTGCACTATAGTTTTCTTTCGTCCGCATAATTTTCTTTTTTTATTTTGCCAATATATTTTAAAATCTTTCATCCCAACTCTCGATTGTAACAAATGTAGCTAGTGAAAATATAAATGACACTCGCATATACATCACAATAGTTGAATATGTTGGTTATGTATCCACCCCAAAAAATGGGCACATCAATAATTTAAAAGAAAATAAAAAAAAGAAAGAACAATCTTTTCTTTGTGCAGAACTTGAAGAAAAAAGGAAAATAAAATCAAATTTAAACTTCCCTAGAAAAAGAAGAAATTGCTTATGTCGACGATGATATCATTAGGGAGAGAACGGAAGCCACATGTTTTTCTCTCTTGGCAGCCACTCAATTTATATATACAGTTCTCTTCTTCTTCCTTTTCTCCTCTTGTCGCACAAGCTTTCTTCTCTTTCTCTCTTAATCTGTTTTTTTTGTGTGCAACATACATATATATACCTCTAAAAACTGCAGCTCTAATTCTTTTTTTTTTCTTTTTTTTTTCTTTTCTTTTAAATTATTGATTTGCCCTTTTTTTTAGGTTAGATACATAACC